GCTTGATCTTCCCTTACTGGGGAAGATCATGACTGGATCTGGTCTCAGTCCCTTATGGAGGACCATATTCTGGAGACCTTCTCCATCATACGAACACTTTATCCTATGACCCCAAATGCAAACATAGACCATCGAGGAATGCACATACTCAATTTCCTGGAAGGAGGAGCCTGTGACTAAGGTTATATGGCAGGACATTATTTCCTTGTCCTGCTGTGACATGATCAGATACCCCCCTTCTTGTGAGGCTGTGAAAGGTAACATATTTGTCCCTTGAGAGATGCACAGCTAATAGCATGTCAGTGGAGGAACTAAGGTCCTCATGAAGTGTCTGGACCAGAGAAGGCTACCAGAGCAATCTGTCCAGCCTGCGGCGTGTGTGCGGCTGCATCTCAGCAGCCTACAAGAAAAAGGGTGACAAGGAATGAACTACGGGTTGATTGCATTCTTCTGGTGGGCCAAATTCAGAATGTAATCCTTTGGCTGGGCTCTCTGGATTAAGAAACTATGCAGTAGCTTCAGTATTGTTGATAAATAAGGAGTCACCCCCATAAGAAGAAAAGAACAACTATAACATACATTTTCAAGAACTGAGATGTCCATTATGATCTTGACATTTTCCAGTGTCTTGAAAAAACCATAAGCATCAGTCAATTGACCCGAATCCACTGCTTCATGCTGAAAAAATTAAATTTTGTCCTTGCAAACTTTCACTCCATCATCTCTTCAGATTCTATAATGTTACTGTGACAGATCCAGGTGAGGTTTTACTCAGTGGATGAATGGACGGGGGACTTAAGCATCTCAGTTGCACTGACTGGCACATTGTGCATGGCATGCAGTCCCATGATGCTTGATTTCATGCATGGCTGCAGGATGCCTTTTTGCATAAGGTGTATGTCCACTGATATACACTGAAGACCTTTTGATATACTCATTATATGGATGGGAGGCCACTGGAACAAAGAACTATTGATGAAAGTTTAAAAGATGAAGACTAGTATCAGTGTACCCACTTCGGCAGCCCGTGAGATTTCTCCTTTGAAAGTAAAGCCAAAAACCTTTAGGCCAGTTCAGCTAGACAGATCAAAGATCTTCAACATGAACAAGCTGAGCTAGTCTGGCATATAACGTTAGTCTTTGTACTTACTCTGAGATTTCCAGAGATTCTGACTAGCAATCTCTTTTTTAATGAAATGATATGTTGTTGTAAGTGTTGTGGTGGCGCCTAGGAAATCAATCTGAATTGGGTCTCATGCTGCTGGATGAGATCCACAACAAAAAGATGATTTCCCCTGCAAGAGATCCAAAGGTTCATCTAAACTAGCTAACACATTAAATACTCTGGTGTGCGTGCTGTGTTTTCAAAACATGTTACTTAAACAGTGGTTTTTTGTTTCTAATATTTCTAATGTTTCTAATATTAAAGAGATCTGACAATGTCACTGGGCTGTGTCACTCTCACAAGCCATTGAAGATGCAGAGATTATGTTTAGCCAGCTTTCTGCACTGTCTAATTTTGTGCTGGCAGGCTGAATTCCTGAGGTATGTTAGATGAGTCTCAGAGCTGCCTTAATTTATGCTGGCCAAACCATTTCCTTCTGCAGCATTTCACAGGTGCGGGATCAGCAGAGCAATTCATGTTCCACTCCCTGACCGCCCCTGCTCAGTATCTACCACAGTTTATCCCTGAATTCCCAGCAAGGGGACAAATGCTGCCACCAAGCTTAAAAAAGCTTTATTGATCTGAGAGTGCTCAGAGAGGCTTGGCAACAATACAAACTGCAACAACATCCCTCCACCACATTGCTTACATGTGAATTTGGAGAACTAAAATTTTCACTAGCACTCCCATTTTTTTGCTAGTATTTTAATTGCATCAGGCCACATAGTTGGACGGAAGGTTGCATCTAGTTCCTTCCAAGAGATCCAATCTCTTTTGATTTTGTGTTTAGCAAAGTAGATAATTTTTATTTATCAAGCCCTTCTGGAATGGAAATTTCGGCTCAAACTCTTCAGCTGAAAGAAACCATCGAATCTCCCTGTACATTTTTCCTGGTGTAAAGGTACAATCTAGCTGCCACATCATTGTTGAATCTGAAGTTTAAGTGGACACTCAAATAAATAAAAGCCACACCTGCCGCAGGCCAGTACCCATCTCTATTTGATTATGTTGTTTTCTTACAGAAGATTTTTGATGGCTGTAGCTAATCTAGAATCTTAAGGGCGATAATTGAACAAATCATTTTCGTTGGGTAGCCGATTCTTTGCAAACCTAAGCAGAGTAGTAATGTGTGACTAATACACAACAGCACTCTGCATGAGATAAAGATGCCTGTGTAACCTATGTAACACAAACCCAAGACACTGTGGGAAGAAAAGACAAAGATATTTAACAGTATATACATGCTATTCCTCCACTCCAACGTGCACCCTTTTCTGCAGAACACAGTGCTGTAGAGATAGTGAAGCACGACCTTCGCTCTCTGCCAGCAGGTACCCCGAGATCCCATTGTTCTCTCTTAAACGTTTTCCAGTCTGGAAACAAGCGAGAAACTTCTCACCCCTGATCCAGCTTAACTGACTCATAGAGCATCTGCCTGCTCATAAGCCAAGAGGCTCGTTTTTGAGGAAAATCTGGGATGCTGTAAATCTTGTTCTCTGTCAGGTAACAATAGTTGCTGGTCATGCCAAAAAACTCCACTCTTTTTTTGTGCAAATACAAAATCATTAGGTGTTCCTAACTCCCTGGCCTTAATTCTCAGCCTGCACATGTTGCTATTTACATTGTATGCCTCTTAAGCTGAAAAAAAAGACTCAAAAAATAATTTCTTGGGGCTGAGGGGGAGAGAGAGGCATAGATACTTTACACCGGCATGGTCACTGGATGATGAACACTTGGTCAACACAGTTGGAGCCACTGAAGAACATCCTAGAAGATGACCTGTTTTAAACATCAGCCCCCTCCAGAAATGATGAGTAACCACACTCAGGTCCGTGGATCATGTGCAGTACCTTCAGTGGATCCAAGAGGTACTAAAACTGTCCTGCAGCAGTGACACCGCTCCATACACATCGCAAACGTGGGCCAACAAGAGACATCAGAGTTGCCACATGGGTCGGGACCAATTGTCAGGTATCTCCAGGTCCTCCGCCACGGGTGCGGTGAGTCCAGCACAAAACGTAACACATGCACGGCCCACCAACCCACCAGCCTCTGGAGCAGGATGGAGGAGGAAAGTCTTACGATAGTTAAAATGATGCTCCTGCTGGTAGTACTTTTCAGGAAAGAAGCAACGAAGTAGTTTTCAGAAGAGGAGCTGAAAGCAGGCTCCGGGCACAGCCGATGGGTCCCAGGGGGTCAGTCCGCGCAGGGAGGGGAGGGGGCGGGTGGCAGCTCATCCCTCGCCGGCAGCCGGCGGCGCAGCCCTCTCCCCTCGGACCGCTGGGGCTGGCCTGACATCTAGGGGCCGGCACGGGCACTGCCGCTCAGCGGCTGCCGCAGGAGCCACCTCGGGCATTAGCCGAGCCCTGTGCAGCAGGAGCGTCCTTTCCTCTCACGGGAGTAGTGTGTTAGTAGGGCTTTCTTAGGAGTAAGTGAGCTCGAATTGTAAAATGATGGGCATGGACCACTCCCCCGCTCCTCGAGCCTTAGTGTTCAGGAGTAAGATCTTGCAGGTTTGGTGTATGTTTCTATGAAAACATACCTCAGTGCTTAGGAACAGTCAAGAAAAGCTAATTACATTTTAGGAATGATTAGGAAACGAACAGAAAACCCCACAGTGTTATGCCCCTGCATGTGCAAACCACCCAACATCTCAAATGCTCTCTGCTGCTCTGATTCTTCATCTCAAAACCCCACATATTCTGTACGTGAAGGAGACACCAACTGCAATCACGAATTAATTCTAGAAGAGTCGCAGACATCAGAAGGCACAGACCTGCTGGGGTAATGAGTTAAAGCCTAGCAGTCGGTCACGTATTGAGGACGACTACTGAACAGTCATACTAACGCCATCATGTCAACAGTCATGTTGACCTCTGATGAGGCACTGGAGCCACCTGAACTCTAATTCAAAGATTTTTTTCCAGGCGGTTATTCTGCTGGGAAACACACAAGAGACTTACCAGATGGTAACCAGCTGCTTCTTTTCCTTTCCACTGAAGGCTGGCCTTCCCGGGGGGGCCAACATTTCCTAGTTCTCCAAGTTTCTCAGTGGTGTAGTCTATATTGGCAGTTGCACATGGCAAAATATACTTCCTGTGGCTCTGCACATCTGTATATTTTTACATTTTATACATTCTATTTATGCATAAATATTAATATATATGTATGTATATATTAATATATACAAGGAGTATACAAAGTATTCCTTCTTAAGAGCTGTTGAAATATTTTTCTTTTTTTAAAATGTTGGTTCAAAAAAAGCAGTTCAGTATCTGAGCCATTTGAAATCTGTTATGGTTTCCACCATCTAGCATATTTTTTCCCATGGAGATATTTAATACAATTGTTATTACCCATAACTTTTTGAGCAACACGAGCTGTAATTTCTTATGAATTTAATTTTTCTCCTCTTGCAAAGGTCCCTGTGTCAGAACCACTAAGTCTGGTAGGGGATGTCTGCAGGGCACTTCCTTCAGTCTTTCTTTGTCCATCTGCTCTCCCCCAAAAGGGGATAATAAAAGTAATGAGTTCTCTTGGTTTCCCCATTCTCGCTTTTTGTCTCCATCTCTGCAAATAAGTTCAGCATCATCAGCATGCAGAGTGAGACAGATTTGGTAACCAGCTCCAAAGGACCAATCTCTTCTGCCCCTAACCAAAAGGACCAGGCTGTGTAGGGACCTGCTGTGTAGTGGAACATCAACTTTATTTCTACATTCAATAACTTAGACTATTAGAGCTCCCCAGTGTTGGGCCTCCCTAAGCCCAGGGCCACTCTGAGCTTTCTTCCAGTATTTCTTCTACAATCTTTCACTGTCTGACCTGCCTCCTTGCTTCATTTTGATGTCTCTTCCTTCTTTTCTTCCTCGATTTCCCCTTCCACAGGCTTCTGTGCCAGCTTCTGCTCCTCTAAGTGACTGATTGAAAAGAAAGAGGTGAACCAGTATTAATTTAGTAAAATGAACCTTCGCTGTCAGGTATCTTAAAGCTGCTGAGAGGACCTTGAGGAAACAGCCTGAAGTGGGAACAGTAAGGACAGCAAAGGTCACAACTCTTCTGACTGTTGTCTACAAGGTGAATATTACCACTACCAACATGCTACAGTGCTAAAATGCATTAAACAGCTAGATAAGGAGTAGATATTAGTATTTATTTTTCCCCGCATATCAGCTCAGCAGCATTAATGGCACCAAATGAAGTCTTTGCTGACCATTGGGTTTTAACGGTTCCTAATGTGCTTGCTACTTAACCACAGTTCTGTAATTTGTGCCTAAAGTACTTGGTAACCCCATGTAACCTCTGATTCAAGATTAACCAGGCTAAGGCCTGTCTAGCGTCTGAGCATAGATGCTTCTAATACGGCACTGATGTATGCAAAGGAGTAAAGACCAGACTTAACAAAGTAATTTGCTTCTCTTTGAAAACATTAGGAAGCTAAGAGGTGAAGAGATTTGCGAAATTGACCCATTGCTTCTAGCCTTAAAACTAGACTACAGCATAAATTTAAACTCATTAATATGTGCTGAGGGATGGGAATATTTGGGCATGATTAATAGGGCTTTCAGCTGATGAGTCGCATGTCAGAACTGACGGGAAATCTAGGGGGAATTTTGGGTCCAATGACAAACGGTTTAGCCTGCAGCGACTGACAACCTCCAAGGAGTTTGCTGCTGACTGCTCAGGCTCTCAGAACTTGGACATGATTGCTACAGGCACTAAGGAAGAGGCACTTTCAAGAGAATGAAAAGTTCTGTAGTTTGAAGGTAGGTTTCCAGGGAAAACTAGGTCTCCTAAGAAGAAGGATCAGAGACAAGGAAAAAAACAAGAGTCCCTGAGGATGGAGGAAAAGGTCTGAAGGCACAGATACGCTGTCTTTGCAAATCTTACCCTGGCTTCAGGGGGAGGACAGTGTTGAGCTGATGCTTCTCACACAGGCTTACAAGCATGAATGAAAATGCCATTCAGCTCTGGGATCCTTGCACTCTCACAGCAAGTTTATCAAACAGAAAAATAAGACTGACTTCTAGTTTGACTCAACAGGGCTTCTAAGCATGCAAGGTGTTTTTTCATCTACCTTTTACTTAGGTAAGTAATGGACTGGCCAAAAACATATGTCCCTTCACCTTCTAAAGTGAATAAGGATATGTTTACTTGGTGTTGAGCCAAATTAAAAAAAGAAAGACAGGCCAGGACAGTAAGTGGAGTCACTCACTCACCTATAGTCCACGACCCCTGTCCGATTCCGGTCTAACTTGCGCACTAGTTCCCCAATTTGGACTCGATCCAGTGGGATGCTTGATTGCTAAGAGGATAAGATAAATGTTAGCAAACCTGGATATTTTCAAGCAGAAGAATCCTCCATATCATACTGGGACCTGTCATCTTTTAATAGATGAGCAGATGGCCTGGTGCATGGAAGAAGGGATGGAAAGAATCCACAGAGTGGTGCTGGGGAGGCAGCTTCATTCTTTTAGGATTAAAATAACATTTTTTTGCATTTTTTTGCAAAATAGCATCATGGCTGGCTGACCATTGCTACTGATCCCAAGCACCATGGTGGTTTTGGCAGGAAGAGAACTGTCTACTCAGTGTGTAGAGGCAAGGGTTTAAATGCCTCTTTTTCACTTTCCCATAGCAGTAAGACATAATTATCTATCAAGATCCTGTATATCCTATACAAACAGCTGACCTCTGTGATTTTACAAAGCTCCTGTGGTACTCTAAAGTTGATTCATTATCATGGATGCCATCTGCAGTATTTACCGGATGTCATAGCATTTCTGTTGGACCTCAACTTTTGTTCAGGGCTCAACTTTTGCAATGGGTCAATTTAGCCTTTTAGTCTGAACAATGTCACCAGCAAGGCTGGCTGGTGGCTGTGCTGCAGCAGAGGGGTTTTCCCAGAGCAGTACCCTGCCAGAAGAGCATCCTGGTCGTGCTTTCAGAGGCACACCTGCATCATGGCTCTCTGGAAGGCTGCCACAGGGATCTTCATGTTTCCATCCTTGTCAATATTCCTAAAAAAGTCCCAGAGTTGTAGGTTGTGCTCTTTCAAGTAGTTCTAAGAGAAGCAAAGATAAAACATGGGCATAACGATGAAACAGTCACTGATACCTGCCTCCAGCTCTCCCCTTATTCTTCCATCTGTCACCCTGCCTTTACTCAGCCTATCACTGAGTAATGATATCATAACTCCATTGTTATGAATCCATAACTCCTTGTGCAGCCACCCTACTGTCAGAACAAAATCCTTTTGTTCAGGTTAATTCCATTCTTCTCAGTTATACCTCCTTCTCCCCTTACCTTGAAACGAGACTCAGTAGTAAATCTGTTTCTTCTGATAATTGCATATGGTTATTTGGTCCTCATCCCAGCAGCCACTGCTTGGCTAGGCTGCCTAATGCAGAGACAGTCCTCTCCCCCACATATCTGATCACTTTAGTTGCTCTTCTCTGAATTCCCTTCTGTTTAAATGAGGACACATCTGAGTACCATAGCTGCTGTTAAAAACTGCAAAGCATGCTAGTGTGAGCGTCACTATCTGTGAAGCACAGCAGCACTGTTTGATTGGAGCTAACAGCCCAAGCTTTTGCTTAAGTTCATCTGAATCCGCATCTATAGCAAAGTCTCACCCAGTTAGCTATAAAAATCTGCACAGCAGCTAAGAAACACAGTGAAGTTGGTAGTGCAAAAGTGTTACTTAACTCAGCAATGCTCAAGTGCTTGCATTGCCTTCCAGCAAGGAGGACAGCACCATCTGCTGCTATCCATAGAAATTACAGACCTTGAAAAGCTACATATTTTCTATTTAGGACAGTATTTGCTTGTAATACGATATCCTATTTTTATGAAGCACGTTAATTTTGATGCTAAAGCACAACTGTCAGTGAAGGGTTCTATGAACGTCAGCTATTGCGGTGGGCTTGTGATGAGGATGGACACTCATTTGGATCAGACCTGAAATCAGTTTGTTTTACACAGCGAGCAAACTTCTATTCAGATTCTTTTTTTCCCTAGTGCTCTCAGATCCCAAGGCATTAGCTTCTCCTGAAGATCAAAGGATTTGCTTAGTCAGTCTGCGTGGACTGAGATATGTGAACATTGTGACAGTCTTTGTGAATATACTTTTCTGAAGGAACTTGGCTGAATTTCCCACTTGGAAGAAAGCTTACCCCTTCCAACCTCCATCCCTCCAAGTGCTTGGAGCATGTGCACTGTGTACAGGCGAGCTATGGACCCAAATTCAGTAGTTCACCTGAATCACTTTCATGGGATTTGGATGCTGCTTGGGGATCTTGGCAATACAGCCTTCGACCTCACCATAGATGACATCTAGTTCAGGATGCGTTTGACACACCAAATCCAGCAACTTGATGAAAGTTTCGTTCACCAACACATTCTGGTACATAGGAGGAAGGAGAGTGCAGTCAGCCTGGACACCCAAAGAACAACAAAGACTTGTTCGTATTAACAAATCCGTCTAAAGTCAACATTAACCATTCTCTCCTAAGGGTGGTGCCTTCTCCCATCTCTACTCTTCATTTTCAGGAATCCCATGGAGGTCAGACCCTAAACAAGTGTTCTTCTTCTTTCTCTTTTCCTATGCCTGAGACAGAAAAGGATCTACTAATTTATGTAGAAATTAACTTAATGCAAGCTAGATGTTCACCAGGTAAATGTCTACACTGAAGACCTCTTATGTTAGGTTATTCAAGTGATTCACGTTCATCCCTGAGATAGTTCTACATGGGTCTCCTCTCCATTCGGTTAAGATGCAGACTGCACATTGAACAGTTAATGGTCAAAATGTGCCACAGAGTTCTGCAAAAATTAAAAAAAAAATCATCCAAGGCCTAAAAGGATTAGTATCTCCAGCAATGTAGCTTTAAAACTCAGACAAGAAAGTTCTATCTGGCAAGGGCCCAGGTGTCTCCAGATGAAAAGAACTTTTGGTAAAGCTCTATTTCATTGTGTAACCCTAATAGGAAGCTCCAGTCAGCAGTACAAGACCTGACGTTTGTTTTTTCCTAAGGATTTCAAACAGGGTAGTGACAGCTCAGTGTATCAGAGCTCACACTGTGAGTTTTCTGGTTTAGTACTTATAGAATGGACAGCAGCACAGTTTCCTGATTTAGGGTTTTGCGATACTAGAAAGTAAACTAGCAATGCAGATATTGACGTCATTGTAATTTATTCTTCTAAATTTAAGTTATGACAAATTTGCCTTTGCCTTGACTGATCTTTTGTAACCATGGTTATGATTTTGTTCATATCCATGATGGCAGAGGAATTGTTCATGTATTACGTTAGCTATATATTTAATTGTTGGAAATTTCAAGGCAGTTCAGGAAATTCTTGAAAGCTTCTGTTTTCTGTCATTGCGGGAGGTTTCCAAGGCATCAAGCACGGTATTTTTTCCCAAAGTGTATTTACAAAGTCTCCCAATGCATTCTTACAGCTTCTTTTTTAGAAGCTTAAGATTTACCGTTCTTAAGATCCATCTAGAAGCTTATGATCTACCGTGCAGTGAGCTCTTGACTGTTACTACTTGAAGACAGTCTTCAACGAGTCTGGGTCTGGCTGGGTTTACTAGCTTTCATTCAGCACCAATGGCTTTATGGACGCAGAGTGACTCCCTGAAGAAGCCATTCAAACATCCCTGCGCTATGCACACTAGCAGAGTGTCCTAGTCCTAGGAACACAGCACAGGAGAGCCTGAGCTGGCTCTGCTGGCTGCCAGCTCTCTCCAAGGCTTGTCAGCCTGGGCTTGACCCCATAGAAAGCCAGTGGACCGCCAGTGCAGCCTCAGAAGCAGCATAGACAAAGCACCGTGCCTGGCCTAACAAACTGTGCTGGGGTCGGGCAGCGCCTGAAGGGAGCCAGCTTGTGCTTTTCTTTATCTTTGACACAGTCAGTTCATAGTCCAGAAAAACAACACATGGACAGCTGAAAAGCGATGGTATTTTCTTTTGTACTGTGATGGTGAAGATGGGCATGTGCTGGCTGTTTTGATTCATGACTTCTATTAAGTGTTTGATAGTCGGTATCTGCAAGTTGAAACCTTATAAAGAGTAGATCATGAAAAGAATGTGGGGAACAGTCATGCTTAGAAATGTTGTCAGAAGCAACAAATTGTTGTTAAAAATGTGCCTTTCCTTTGCTTCACCTTTGCTAGTGCTGTCAAACCTGTGCAAAGGTTTCTAGATATGGTCCTTATTCAAAATTCCTCTTACTGACACACCAATTATTCATTCTTTAAAAGTCAAGATAAACATTTATCACTGGGAAAAGGGGCAGAAGAGGCTTTTGTTTATGTCTTCCCTTACATTTCCTATAAAAGATTAAAACCTTTACTAATTTCTTAAAGGTTTAAGACAGCATAAGATCTTTGGAGCTGTATATTTGCAAATACTCTGAATTGAAATGCAAGACTCCCTACATCACAGGTGGAATGAAGTCTGTCAGGCAGATGAGATGTTTGCCCACAAGCATTTGATAGGGATACTGAAATATTGTAAATTTATGCCATTGATTATTTATCTTGTGAAATGCCAGGTAATTTAGACTTTTTGAAGGGTGAGGTGAAGAGAGCACATTAACCCTAAAAAGCAGAAATGCATAGTGAGATTTAGGTTGGATTGAAGATTCTTAATGTTAATTAACTCCTTGGCTCAAAATTTCTCGAGTGCCTCCTTTTAAATAAATACATTTCAGTAATTTCTTTAATTTCTCAGAATTTAGCTAAATTACATTACTCTTTCCAAATGTATGAATTGTTTAGGTTATTAGTAACAAAACTAGCAGAACCACGTATACTGTAATGAAGTCCTTTACCCCCACACAGCCCATTTCAGTTTTCCTTTGCAGAATGAGGCCTGCCTCCTTGCAGACTTGGCAAATAATTCTCTTTGATCTTAATTTATGCAGGAAAAATTGTCTGCCCTAGAGGAAGGCCTGTTCTTCAGATGATCTCTGTTGAAAGCCCTCGATACTCTCAGGAAAGACCATAGATGAATATTATTTATTCTGCTTTGTTTTAGTTTCTTTCTTTAATACAGTAACCACAGGACAAAGAAACACATGCAGATGTAACTTAAATACAACCCATTACGTGAGGCTCCAAAAATGCCCATGAACTTTTTTATAGCTTGTTTCAAGTGTGAACATATTATTTATTCCAAGTCCCAAACCTTTGTGAAAATGCTCTTTCCTTTAATCATGGTGCTCCCAAAGGTGGATGGAGGCCCCTGAGGCCCCTGACACCTTCTGTAACTGCTCCCATGAAGCACCAATGCATGGATGGGAGGGCCAGGAGTGGACTGATGCGTGCCCAGGTCTCTCCCCAGCGTTGGTCTGCAATGCAACCCCTGCCCCCACTCAGGAGCTCAGAAGCATTTCTGGATCTCCCATTTTAGAAGCAGCACATGAGGTTACAACAATATGTGTCGTGCTCCCAACTTGCTACGGAGTAGCATACTAAGATTTAGCCTCTGTGATTTTTTTTTCCTTCCACACCAGCCTTTTAATGTTGGGGTTTGTTTTGGTTTTTTTTTAAATAAAATTGCTTTGCTTTCAATGCCTTGAAGCATCCATCTTCTATTCCTCGTACATACTGATAGGGAATCAAACTTCACAGTATTTAGCATCTTAGGCTGCCTTGGAGGGAGACAGCTCAGGGAATGAAGAGAATTCATCCTCCAGTGGGAATTGACTCGTTATCCTTGTTCTGCTATTGCAAAATGGAAGGGAGTGAAATGTGGTGATACTACAGGCACCTCTCTCCACAGCTAGACCAAAACCACATATAATTTCCACATGGCTCCTAGAAGGGCTGTCAAGTAGTAGCCTCTTTTTATTAATGGCTGTGCATAAATGAAACAAACAGCAAGTCTCAAAACAGTTTTGGAAGGGAGCAGCTCTGTGATCCACCCAGTTCCTAAAAATGTATCGTGTATAGTCCTGGAGGCTTTCCAGCACATAAGCTCTTACCGAGATGTTGATCTCCTCCATCACGGATTTGGGGTTCTTTCTGACAGATGTGACTAGCGCAGTGGCACCTTCTGTGGTAAGGGGATTATTGGCCATCTGTGGGAGAAGAGACATAGATGAAATGGTGAAATAGACATGGTGAAAATGAGGATTTAATGCCTGGCAGAAGGCATGCTGTAACCTCAGGGATGACCCTTTCCCATTCTTCAGCAGGTCTGTAGAATAACTGTGGTCCCCTTTGATGGTTTTGTCTGTTATCTCACCATCTCTTGTCTCTGTCCCACAAAGCTCCACAACACAACTTCCCAGTGGAGTTCCCTTCTCAGCTTCTCTCTGTCTCCTTGTGTGAAATTCCACATATCAGGTCCCTTACATCTGTCACGCAGGAGTACGTGATGTGGATCATGTTCAGTCATGTGATGGGGAGAGGCAGAGGCAATGGGCTGCATTTGAATGTGTGCTTGCTAGTAGGGTCCCTCTGGATGCGAATATGTCCCTCGGGACATTTCCCATATCCTTGGCTCCTCTTGGCAGCACAGCAGATCAGAGCTCAGGCTGATCAGCTGCCTCTGTCCCACAAGGTCTAGCTATCTGGCTTTATGGGGTTGGCATTGCCATGTGCATCTCTTAGTGTGTGAACATCACCTCTCCCCCACCTTGGATTTCATGTGCAGTCCCCACTCCCGCTAGTTGAAAGAAAACTTTCTTGGTTAGCATTGGCCAGCAGAAGACATGTCCTCCTTTAAGTCCTTTGTGTTATCAGCTCCTAAGACAATCTGTGCAGCTACATAGAGAGAGGAATGCTTTGGTGTCAGTTAGTGACCTTACCTCAAGCCAGGCTAAAAGCAAGGCAAACAGACACATTTATTTATATAATCTAAAACAGCAGTCCCAAAGAGTGGTGTGTTTGCAGTGATTTACAAGGATAGGTGTGTCCAAAGACAGGCCTACATGAACAGATTTAAAGACACCCCTCAACCACCATACTGCCATTTGCAGGCTCTCAGGACGGTTACATTAGATTTAGCTGAGAATGCAGCTTGTAAGCAAGCTGTCTTTTCTGAATTGAATTCCTAGAGAATGATCTTGGATTGAGAAGACATGTCAGCTCTCAACCCTAACCTCTGAAGCCAGCTTGGCTGGTCATTCAGTTTTGCCCTTTCCAGGATTATTGATCCCCAGCTTACTAAAAGGCAGTTTTGGCTTTCTTTTTCCAGGACTTGATAATACTCCTCTCCTTTAGTGGCATTACCCTGACATAGCAATGACAGTTTATCCTGTGTTTGAATAAATTTTTAGCAAATCATTAACACACTGAGAAAGGCACACTCTTGCCCACCTGGAAACTTCAGTGTGAACCTTTGCCTTAGGTTGAAATGCATATTACGTGTACATATGTACCTTCACAACTACATTTTATGTATATATGCAGGCCTGTTGAATGCCTAGGTTCTCACTTGACTGAGACTAGACATGACAGGAATCAACCACTTTGGGGTGATAAGGGATGTGGGGTTATGTCAAGCCGGTCCCTGGGGGATTTTCTGAGGGAACAGTGCAATTTAGTTGCCCTGGAAGAAATTCACGGGATAGAATTTCCTTCCACTTTGCCCACCTTCAACCCAGAGCAATATTCATTTCCTCCAGTTCTAGCTCAGACAGTTCACCTCTGTCTTCTGTCCCACCTGACTCAGATCTTTCTACTCCCTCTGTTTATTCCTCCAGCCATGCCTGGGCTTTATTTTACCTTCAAGATTTTGAGTTTTCCATTGACTTCAAGGCCCCTGCAGAGCTTCTTGGCTCCCTTGTTGTTGATCTGGTTGTTGCTGATGTCCAGGTGAACCAGCACGTTATTGACTTTGAGAGCTTCTCCTAGGGCCAGCGCTCCCTCGTTGCCAACGCCATTCCAAGAAAGGTTGAGTATTTTCAGTGCACTATTGCTCTCCAGGGAGAGAAGAGGGATCTTAGCTACTGCATGCCCATTTTCTGTACCACTCTACCCTTTTTTGCCTGGCTGAGACAGGAGCATCCCTCAAGTGACACCCAGACAGCCCCAATGAATCCAACATCTCTGCAATGTCACCAGGGTCTCTCCATCCACATAAGTCACCAGACCTACTCACTGCTTTAGTCTTTCTCCTGGCGCTGACTGCCACTGTCAGTAGGATGAGCCTTGCTAAAGCTACTGAATCCTGCTCAGACCTCAGGGATTTGAGTTCCCAATCAGTGTTTCAACCAGCTCCTGGTAATAATCACTGTGAAGGGCATCACAAAATAGGGGCATTCCTACCCTGAGACCTGTGCCCAGTGCTACTGTCCCCTGCCTCCTCAGGTGGTTCCAGCTCAGGTCCAGAATCTCCAGTGTTGAGTTGCTGGCTAGGAGAGAGAAACTGAGATGTTAGCTCATGAAGAGTGGTCTGGACACAGCTGCTGACCCACACTTAAGGACTAAGAGAAAGTTTGCTGGGCGTTCAGCAACAGCCTTCATCGATTGCAGTAGGAGGAACCTGCACCTACAGAGTCTTTGCTGTCCACAGCACCCAGAGAACAGAGAATGGGCTGTTGATCACAAGCAGAAAGGGAACACAGTTTTTTATCTGGCTCAATCAAAGAATAAATTGTGAAGGAGGAGGGTAGAGAGGGAGGATTTCTTATATTAATAGACACTGTCTGTGTTTCTCACTGTGAAAAATGGCTGGATTCTCCTTGCCACATCTAAAATATCAAGACTCGCTCTGCGTACGTTTGATTAGCAGAAGAGAGGAATTCAGCTTCATATGGTAGCTGTGCCCAGCTGTATATGTACCAGTGCCAACTCACATGCATAGCACACCTCACGGTGTAAGTTCTACTTAAAGCAGGGTATGTGTGAATTCATTTGTGTCTACTGTGACACTGGGAGGGGTAGGACTTGCTGCCAACACTTGCTTCTCATTCTCAGAGAGAATTTCTTATCCAGATTTTCCATGGATGGGAGGTTGGATGGAGGCAGATGGTGAATTTAGCTGACTTAAAAATATTCCTTTAAGAAACAAAACAGAAAAGTAACAGATTCTGCAGTAATCTCTGCTGCTCCTGCCTCAAGTGAGCTGGAAGGAGAGAAGAGCTCTTAAGACCTTTAAGTTTGGAGAGGCATTTTTCTGGGCTAGGAAGGTCACAAGTTTTAGTACTGATCTCTGCATTGCCTGCAGGCTTGTCCAAGGCAGGGGCACAGTGCCTTGTTCCTCACTGCAGTTTTAATTGATCCATCTTTTAAAGACATGGACTGTAATTAGAAAGAGGTTCATATCAGTGGAAATACTGAACCAGGAGAAGGAAAGTGTTAATTAAATTGAAGGCATTGTGTTACTGAAATCTCGAGGAACACTGGATGCTCACAGCACAGGCTTGTGGCCGTTATGGTAGCAGGCGTGTTGGACATACTGAGGGAAGAAGAGCCATCAGATATTCATGCAAGTCTTTCCCAGTGCACTAATAGCACCTGAGATTACTGAAGGACTGTAACTGTTTTGTTTGCTTTCCCTCTCCAGGGCTACTAGCACACTCTGGATCTCACTTTGTCTAAAAAGATAAATTAGGCAGCTTGATTTTATTTCTTCCTAAACTGTTTCCCTTGCTGCTTGCTGTGCAATGGCTCAAACCATTAGGGTTTGGGCTACTTAAGAAAAAATGAAATCGCTCCTGAACTTTGTAATCAAAAGCTTAAAACAAACAACAGTTCTGATCCTATTAGATTTTAGTAAAATGCAATTTTCTGCTTTATACTCCCTGACGGACTTCTCTTTCAGCTCTCTTCTCTCTGACACAGACCACTCTCTTACTGTGGTTTCTCATCCTGCATTTGTGTTCTGATACATTAGTCATAGTTGCTAGAGTCACTTGTGGTGATGAGGGTGAGCCTGTGGACCAGGCAGGAAGCTCTAAATCTGGGCACCCTGTCTTTTGTACCACCCACTAGGTCATGGGGCATTTTTGCTGGAGAAGGAAATGCATGTTCACTGTGCTGACGCCATCAAGTCCCCCAGTGCCTGTACTCCTGGCTTTGCGGGAGTAATAAATTAAGTTACCGAGCATCTGTCCCAGGAGCTGTCCTCCCTTCTCATAGAACTCATTGTGGCTGAGATCCAGCTCCTTCACTTGGTAATTGCCCTGCAGAGAGACAAATGTGCAGAGACAATGAGATCTTCCAGCCAGCTGCAACCAGCTGCTATGCCAAAGCCCCCACATGAGGATGAAACAGAGGAATATCAGACACACTGAAATCTTCAGTGCATGGGAGATCATCAGCATGGAGATTGTGGCACTGTGTGTCCCAAAACAAAGCTTTGTCAGGCATATAACATCATGGTGATTATCTTCCCAAAACAGCAAAAGTAATGGGACTTTGTTTTGTGCAAACTTCCCTCACACAGCTCATGTCTGGCCTGCAACACATCCTCCAATTCTGTTCCTGCCCCTGCTTCAGTCCCACCATTGCACCCTGACCAAGAGCACTTTCTCATATCGCGTCAAGGCCTTGCTTCAGGGCAGCTTCTGGTGGTGCCAAATGATGCAGAGGCTTTGAGACAGGAACTAACCAGAGAAGTCAAGCGTCTTCTTTTTACTGGAGAATTGCAAAATGATACGAAGTTGGGTTACTTACACTTCTTGAAAATTTTTTGTCACCCAGATGTCGTTCTGTTGTTCTGTTACACAGTCCTGAAGGTTTGTTTCTCAGCCAGACTCACACAGCTGTCCTGAGAAAATGTTAACACAGTCCATCCTGCTCTATGTCCTCCCAGCCTCTCTCATTTCTGAAGTAAGCAAGAGGCACTTAGAGGAATTATGCCAGGAAATCATATGGGCATTGCCAAGTGAAATCATGCCAAGTGAGTAGCAGCTTCAAGATGAGGAGAGTCTGTTACACAGCCAGGGCTGCAAACGACCTTGGATTTCAGGTAACTCACCATTAATGCCTCAGCAAAGTATGGTGCAGTCTGCTCTCCAAAGTTGTTTCCTGGGTAGGAAAAGTATGTTAACAGTGCGCTGATCTCTCCCTTGGTGCTGTGCTGGGGTTTGCAGGAAGCTGTACTTTTAGGTGGAACCTCCAGTTAATCACAGCCCATATCAGGCTGTAGAAGTTAGTCACTATTCCACTTTGCTCCATAGAGCAGAATTACCCCAAGATGTGGGAGACACTCCAGCAATTATCTAAGTTTCTCGTAAGGGACTGGTTTTCAGAGGTGCTGGAGCTTGAGCAGGCCAAATATTTAATCACATCACTATAAATCTAGATTTCCACTGTTACTCTGCTTTCCCGTCAGACACATAGCTGAGAGATTGATTTTGCCCATAGTCTGACTAATATTCTCAAGATGAGAGACTGGAATGACACATATGTTATTTCACTTCTACTGCCATCTCTGTTTGGGTGCATACAGCCCACCTGAGAGCTGAAGAGTATGGAGGCAGGACATGTTATCCAAAAGCAAACTGGCAATGGCTTCAGCTCCTGCTGTGTCTAGGTGGTTATTGGAGATGTTCTGGAAGGAAAGAAGCAAGGATAAGAAGGATGAGTCCAAAGAATGAATTAGCTTTATTGTCTTCTTAATGCCCAAGATATCAAGGGAATAATGCAAGACGAGCAATATGAGAAATGTCAGCCAGACAGTAATTAACATGTGAGTTATAGGTGTGTTTAACCCTATATCCTTCCTAACAGGAATAAAGCCCTGCAGCCATCGGTTTCACACGGGTCTTCATCTTCAGTGAACCAAGAGGCATTTGGCCAAGAATCTTTTCTTCCAGTGTAACACAGATCCCATAGCCTATCAAAATGCATTTTGTATACCCCAGTTTCAGATTGAAGGAACACTCCTACCAGTTCATATCTGAAAGTTTTGCATTATTCCCTTAATCTACTTAGAAAAGGTTCCCCATGTCATACTGGAGAATGAAAGTTCCTGACCAAAACATTTTTTCTGTTGGCAAAGCATGAACTAGAAAGACTTAGTTATGGTAATTATTATCACATCTGCTAATGAAGAGAACAGTTCCAGACTCACCAAACTGCCATCACATGCACACTTCTGCTTTTCAGTACTTTTTTCAGTACTTTTTAAAAGTAGAGCAGCATAAAATATCATGACTTTCAGAATGTGAATATTTTTGCATGGGAACAACAGTTATTTGGTTAAAGTTGTAATGGAATGGATGGGTTTTCTTTCAGATGATTGAACTTGGTGAGCTATAATTTTGGCTACAAACTATGTCAGATGGGGTACCAGTTCTTGAAGGGAGGAATTCTCTCGTAGCATCTCTGCTATGCATATGGCTCCTTCTGCCAGAATGCAGTTGTCTTCCAACTCTAGATGGGTGACGGTTGCGTTGGACTGGGAAGACACAAAGGTAAACAAAGACACACAAAAAACTGCTGAAAAGTTAATGAAGGGGAGAGTTTCCTCAGTTCAACAGACACCAGACGTTTCCTCCAAACCTCAGAAAGCATTGCAGGACAGTGATCAGGAGATGTGGCAGAGCCATGGCAGTGGGAGTTGGCATACAAAAGAGATGCTTTTTTGGAGAGGTTTTGAGTGGGTAGGACTTTCCATTGCTTTCTGCCAGCCTGGAGACCCAGGTTCAGATCCAAGCTCCAATTCAGACATCCTGGGCCTGTCCATTGGTGAGTGTAGCATATCCCTATGCAGGACCCAGAGTGGGGGATACCAATCCCTCCAGCCCTACCTCTGGCCCTGTAGGGGTTAGGAGCATTGGGGACTTGTGTCCCATGGAAGAGTATCAGTTTGCTCTTGGGGGTAACTCTAGCAAAGGCCAGCAGTTGCCACACAAGACTTCCCTGTGCAGGGGATTAGAAACATTAGGGATGCTCAGAGCTCCTATGGGAAAGATACATGTCTTTATCTCCCACACTGTGTACTCAGTGATGGCTTTCAGGCCTGAGAGAGGCCTAAAATGCCTATTGTTCTTCAGAACAGTGGCCCCACTCTTACTGGCTACTCACCACCAGAGCAATAGCAATGGCTTTGACACCTTTGGGTCCTAGACCATGGTGGTTCAGGTTTATATAAGGCTTGGCCAAGTTCTGAATAAAGTGTGAGACAGGTACCACCTCCATCAGCCTGCATGCTTCCAAGTACAGCTCTGTGCCCGTAATGCCCACAAAGGCCTTCTCAGGATCTACAGAGAAAAAGTATGTTGATGAGTGCTGCATTCAGTGTCCTTCCTCCTCTTTTAAATAAATTAAGTAACTTAATAAAATTAAGTAACGCTATGCCACAACAGTAGGATTTTACTCTTAAAGGGTTATCGTTCCCTGGTTCTCCTCATCCCTTTATCCCAGACCTTCAAGAGTTAATGTATCCTCCTTGCTTCTCCATTTGGCATCCAGTGACTTGCTGTAGCTTCTCACCAGTCTGCAATGTGACTAAACCTTTCTTGGTGTAACTGAGAATTCTTGACATCAGGCAAAAACATTTTCATCTTTTTTTTTCTTTAAAATCTTAATTGAAGCACGCAGCTGATATTGCCAGCAGAGCTAGGGCAGCTCAGAACATTTTGGCTTACAACCAGCAGAAAGAATCCCAGCATTCTCATCTTGGCCATTGGGTGTTGTTGACACAGCTGCAGTGAGACATATCAGTGCAGCTGGCGGCTGTATTTCCACAAAAACCTGTCATTTGGAATTCCTTCATCAAAACCCATACTTAGAACTCGTATTTCTCCATGTTGTTATATGCATTCAACCGTCTGACCTCAAGACAAATTCCCCTCTCATCAAAGCCATTTTCCAGTTCAATCTGAGGCCTCTAACAAAAAAGTCCTTTTTTCTTGCATTCTTATGGTTTTTTATTTTCCTTTCATTTATAACAAGTTAAAAAGCTCTCATCCTAAATTATGGACAAATCGCACCATTACAAAAGTGAGTGCAAGACTTGTTTAGCTAGAGGACTGACTTCACTAGGCAGGAGATAAGAGGAGAGCCACCAGAAAAGTCTGGACAGTTGTGGCACGCAGACCACAATTGCTCTGCAGTGTTTCGTCAGGAGCACACAGAGTGTTCCATCCTTGGCTTCAGCTAGCTGCTCCTGGTGCCCAGGCAGCAGGCTGGTCTGGTAATGTTGGTTATTAAGGACTAGGGGAGAGAAGAAGGAACAAAGGAATAGTCATGGTGTATAGAAAGCAGCTGAAGGAAGATGCTTGGCGTCAAAGTGAGAGCTCTTAGAGGGAAATTCATCCCCCTGCCTTTATCGACTGCCAGATTAGGTGTGGTTGTCAGGACCCTGGCAGGATTGTGTCCTTGGTCTCCATTTCGGATACATACACGTTGGTAGGTACAGCTCTGTAAGGGGGAAGGCTAGTGAGGGCAGATGGTCAGAAAACATTCACCTTCAACCTCTAGGTCAGTGTCAGAGCCTTGTGTGGCCTTCTCTGCTGAGGCATCAGCCAGCGACACAGACTCCGGAGACTCACTGGTATTGGACGTCTCTTCGTCCTGGCCTGCCATGAAACCAAACAGATTCATTTTGTCAATGCAAGCCCAGCACAGATGTGACTCCCTGGATGTGACAGACCTCCCATCACTCTCACTGAAGCCTGCGCCCCTCTTCAACATGCTGTGGATGCACTCCTTCTCCAGCCCCACTTCGTACCCACCACTCCCTGTGCATTGTACGCATGTGGTGCTGGCCCTGGTGTGGGGATGGGCTCACTCTGGGGACGCAGATCTGCAGACTGGCCATGGCTTGGCAGCTTTTGGAAAGAGCCCTCCCCAAATTCAGCATGCATCCCATGTGCAGGGGACTCAGAGTTCTCCTGCATTAGGTCTTCATTCCTCATGAGCTGCCTCTCTCCCCTTCCTCAATTTCTGAGCCCACCAGGCAACAGCAAATTTCCTCTCTCCATCCCAGTTTCCCACAAACCTACAAGCCAAACCCATGCCAGTTCCTCCTAGCTGTCCTGAACTGACTCACACTTCCCCAGGCACGGGCAGGACACAGTTGGCTGACTCTGCTATGAGCCTGGGAATGCTTTGTAGTACTCTTCAAGCTAGGCAGAAGGGAAAGCATTTGGATGCTATTGTACATTGGGACTGAGTGTAACCAGACCCACTGGAGGTGCTACAGCTTCTCTTGCTTACAATTCAGAATTTATTTTATAGTTAGAGAGAAGGAGAATTTGGAAAATTCCTTTTTAAGAGGAATAATTGCGTACAAAATAATGAAGAGTAATTTTGCCAAAATAATTTCTAGCTAATAACAAAATACATACTTTTTTCCAACTCTTAATCTTTCTTTTCATTCCCTGTCACTGCTTTTACTACCTTCTTCTCTTACTCCTTATTTCCCTTTAGAGCTCCAGGCTATTGACCTGTAATTTTATACCCTTCTTCAGTGTCACTTAGCATCAATGTGTGACATGGAGCTTGCAGTTTGGCTGTTCATGCAGACTTATGTGAGGGAAAGACTGGCCAGCTGGCAGCCACATCACCACATTTCAACCAGCTCTGCAGCTGCAGCTCCTTCATTAAGACCATTTCCTTCTGCCAGACTTTATTTGTTCAAATGATGGGTTTGCTTGCATTACTTTAGCGCGAGAAAGACAAAAGAAAGGGTAAAAATAGGTCTAAATCCCATGTAAAGAGCTCACGAGACAAGTAGAACCAAAGATTTGGGACATTATGATACTACCCACTGACTGTCTTTGCTTAATGGCCCTACAACGCTGGACATCCTGAGAAAAATAAACTTCCCACTCTGGGGAACAGACTGTCTATGCTATACAAAACCCATCCAGACTGGGGTCTATCTTCTGATAACGTGGCTGTCATGTGCCCAGTACATCAGCCATCCTGCAGTGTGTGGACTGAGCCTTCTGAGATAGATCCAGAAGTGGTGCCTGCACCCCTGTGGAGCTGTAGAAGTTGGCACTGATACAGAAAATAACACTGTTATTCAAGCAGAAATTTGAAAAGCACTGAATCATGATTATTGGTGTTAAAACCAATGCAGTGGAAAGTGATGGGTCTGGAGACTCCTTTATCACCCTTCTCCTTTCCTCAGGTGTTGGGGCTGCAGACACAGCTTTTTGGTCAGCCTGTCGCATGCACGGCTTGTACCAGTCACGAACCAGGAGCTAGGAGGGGAGTTCACTCCATGGTTTGATGTGCGACTTCTGAGGGATGCATCCAGATAGCTGCAAATCCCTTCTCTCTGCTAGGTGAACAATGCCTGTTCTCTGGGTATGTTGCTTTATGCTGTCCCCTCATTTGTATTGTACAAATATTTGATAAATCACACTATCAATTTATACTTCAGTAGCTCTGTGGAGTAGTGAAAATGTTTATCATCTTTTGCCTCGCATTGCAACAAGGTCCTAGTTCGTGCTGCTAAACTAATGAAGTGTTCTTTCTTAGAATCACTACTAATAGTGATGGACGTAAAGGGCAGATGAAGATTTTCATAAATTGTTCTCCTTCTCTGCCAGGATAAAATCTAACGGATATATACTAAGGAATTTCAGCTGTGAAAGCAAGCTACCAAGGTTGTCCTCACTTCTTTCATTCTCAACGTCTGGCCTGAGAAATACATCAGAATAATAGCTCAACTGGGGCAACTCATAAAATGGAACATAACATTTTGCAGTATGCAGACAAAATGATACTAATGCAAACGCTCAGATATAAGCCTTTTTTTACAGTCTGTAAGGAATCAGTTCTTTCAGTGATGTGTCAAACTATATGATTATACTAACTTGGGAGTATTAAATGTTGAAGGAATCTATGAGGAAACAGCTACGAGACGTGATTTTGTATCTCAGCAAAGTCTAAGCAAAGTATTTAGGAATTAATATCCTAAATGTTGTCATTTATTGAAAAATTGAGAAATGAGGTTTATTGTGGTTGTGAAAAAACTGTGTGTGCTTTAGCTTGGTCAAGGGTATCAACTCTTTATCTCCTATTTTAAGTCATGCCACTGTGGATATCAAAAGACTTCTAGAGAAATTATAAACAAATGTGTTGGATATTTGTGGAAAAAAAGAAAAAAAATATAGATTTTTTTTCTCTCACCTAATATAAATTATTTAGACGAAGAAAAAAGCAAAACAACCAGACATTTTGACAACATTTTGCCTCTGGAATAGGGTAGGATTAACAATTATACTATTCTGCTCGCTGCTACTGTCAGTCAAATTCAACCAGCTTTTTACCCACAATTATTTAATCCAATATGTAAGGGAAAATGGCAACCAACTATTAACTGACCAGGTATTTCCTAGTGATAATATTTTTCAAGTTAATACTGTCAAAAACCCATGAGAAATAAGAATTTTAATATAATCGTTGGGCTTGATAGCAGGTAATTAATTATGTCAGATCCCACTTAAGGAGTGAAAGTTTCAAGAGTTCATAGCCAAGAACAGAACTTTGTTTGCAGAAAAGCTATCTAAAAGGGACTAATCCCAAAAGGGACTAATCCCAAATAGGCAATAAATTGTTACTGCTGGATCAAAAAAACCCCCAGAGCTACCTTTACAGAAAAACAAGAAAGGATATTTAGACAAGTGTCATTTTGAAACAATGGAAAATATTCTGATAAAGGATCTAATCTATTAGAATATCCATTAGGGAAAATTATTATGTAACACTTCATAAATTGCATTATACTCTATTTAAATACAGAACAAGAACCAAAGAGAGAAGTTGTCCCACATATCTGACTACCTTACAGTAATTGCATTATGAAGGAAAATAAGAAATTGATTTGTAAAGACTATGTGACACGCCAAGGGGGGCTTTGAACTTTGGGAGGAAGTCAGGCCAAAATGCTGCAAGCAGAGCTGGAGCCTGACTCGGTTGTGTACAAGCACAGCCCGACAGCAGCAGGTTCCGAAAACTCCTCTGCCCCTCACGCCCTGCCTGTTCTTCTGGGCGATGGAGGGCTCAAACAGGGTCTGGGCTCACAAGGTGCTGAGCTCCAACATCTCCTGTGGGAATTAGGGGCAGCAGGGTAGAGTTGCCTGGAAGCTGGTACTGGCAAGCCCTCTTCTGATGCATTTTACTTTTTTTGAGCTGCTGCTGGATGGCAGCTCCCGTCTCAGGGCACTGGCACCCCGTTTCTCCTCATTGCTGCCTGGCCTGGGGAAAGGAAGCCTTCCCACCTGGTGATCAGTCTGCAGCAACCTCAGTCCCTCTTGAGTGCTGGAGATTTTCCTTTGGCCATTTCTGACTATTTCTGAAGTGAGTTTGCTAGTAACTAAACACCGCACCTGCATCCTTCTCAGGCTCGTTCTCTGTGTCACCACCAGTGAGCAGCGGGTTCATTTGCTTTTTCTCTTCTGTAAATGAAGAGTTCACAGCCACCTCCTAGACCCTGTAAGTTCCTCACACCTATAGACAAAAAGTGCAGCCACTCGGCTACAATTGAAAAATCTCCAAGAGGAATGGTGCCACTTGTAAGATCTGTGCTCTTAATTTATACTGCTTGTGAACAGGAGAATCCCGCTGTAGGAGCTGGCTGGGTGTCACGAGAAAGCCCTGTGGAGCCTGTGGCCGCCCCGTCCCCCCATCCTGCCACCACCACCCTTCTATGACCTCGCCTGCGCCTTCCGACTCCGAGGGGTGACATTCAGTGTTGGAAACCCTGTTGCTCTGGGATCCCATTGACTCCCAGAGAACAGATGAGGTTTTGGCTGTGAGACCCCCATAGGCATATCAGAGCGTCGTGCCAGGCTGCTGGTAAGAGTTCTCTCCTTTAGTTCGTATTCCAGTTTGTACAATTTAATGAGAAAGCCAGACTGCAGCAGGTATAGTGTTAAAGGAGATGAGGATTAAAGGAGTGTATTCGCCTTACTGGTCCTGAACAGATTCAGACTTCTTTACTGCCAAATTCCCCATCCATTCGGTAATAAAGTGTGGCTTGTAAACATGTCAGCACTTAATGGGGCCTCGAATCAAGTACTCATTCAACCCACCAACTACTGTTGGTGCCAAAATTGGTTCAGCACTTATTATTTTACATCATTTATACAGAGGACTCCGTAACCTTTCCTAAGGGGCTAAAACCAAAACTGTAACAGAAGAGGCTTTCTGATAAAGGTTGAGCAGGACTAATACATACACTTAGAAATCTTTCCATTATGGGCGATGCTCAGTGAACATAATCTCTCGTACAGATTTTGAAGTTTATGTAGTCTACACAGTGTAATATGGGCTATACAGAGAGGAAGAAAAAGTCCATTTTCCCAAAGATAGGGTAGGTTCTACATAAACCTCTCAAGTAGCCCAGTCATTAGAGGCCATGGTAGGGTTATATTTGGATATAGAACAAAATGCCGCAAAAGCCAGTGGAAGGTTTGACTCTGAAGCAGATGACCATTGTCAGCTTTGATTTTATTGCCGAAGTTTGTAAATATTTTTTCTAGTGTAGGCAAAACAACTGTGGCTGTCTGGATACTTGCTTGTTTGTGGCACCGGCTAACATTCTTCTCCGATTTCAGTCTGATTATCCTGATGTGGGTTGGGTCTGAAGATACTTTCTTAGATCTTTCCTTTCAAAGAACAGCCTTGTTTTAAATGCCCCAGTCATCAGCCCTTAATGTTGCAGGTCCTTCCTCTGGAGAACACCCTCCATTTTCTGACTAGAAACCAATGCTGGTTCCAGAGGTTTGCTTACTGCAGCAGGAGATGGGAGACCGCAGTCCAGTTCTGTGCTTTGCCAGAGACATCTGTGGGATTTGAGATAAGTGACTGCATCTGTGCTCCATGGTGTTTTATAACTGGAGATTTGAAAAAGAGGCTGGTGGGATTATTATTTATATACATTACAACATCAGCTCGGATCCTAGCTGTGGACACCCATTGTGCTAATCACCATATACAAATAGGGTAAGAGGCAGGTTGTCCCTCAAAAAGTGTTTCGTCTAAGTATAACCCATGAGGCAGCAGCTGGTCACCATCAAGGGAGCAGTTTGGCAGCACTCGTCAGCGCAAAAGGCAGGGATGACATGGGTCCTGACTTCATTGCAAGTGCCCATCTTAGACAGAGTTTGGAAGAAGGCTGCTGACATCACACATTAGAAGTGTGTATTTGGTGTAAAAACCCATAGCGGTGCTCAGTTTGATCTGTTTGCCTTTAGATGTTGTACACATTTGAATGTGGAACGAAGCAAAACATTAAAAACCAGGTCCTCTCTTTTCATATGAAACTGTCTGGTTTCAACATGTGACAGGTCTCAACTTGCAAAGGCCACAGTGTGCTCACAGCCAGGCAAAAGGGAGTGATTTTGCAGAGCTGTAGTGACCTGTGAGCAGCACACCCAGGGAGGGCATGCTCCTGCACTGGTATTTCACCCACCCCCAATGGCATTTGTCCACATAGAGGTTGCGCTCTGCAAAACCTTGACTATCATCGTGTTTGCAAAGCCTGCGTAATTATTAACTCATCTGGAGCAAATGGGACTTTATTTGCTCGGTGGCTTTCCAGGGGAAAAAAGTTCCTGGAAATTTTCCTTTCTGTTTGGATTTCTGGAGAACGGGGATGAAAACTTCATTTGAAAACACAAATTTCAGGGTGGCGGGGCCAGAAAGCTGCCGTCACCCTGCTTAGGGTCACAACTCCTGATCCCCCAGGCACAGCAGTGCTGCCGGCCCCCGCCGCAGTGACTGGCCAGGTGCAGAGCC